CCAGGAGACTAGAGCGAGGGCTACATGGTGGAGGGGACCTGGGGGAGGGTTTGTAAAACAATGAAAGAATCTTTTCTTTTACTTTTCCATAATTTTTGACTCATGTACTTATAACTTGTTAGTCAAATTTGTGTCTTCTAGGTTGCAACACCCCCATGATACATCTTCAAGGATATGAACATGTACAGCCAAGCACAATCAATAAGAGTGCATCTAAATCCCAAAATCAATCTCCATAATAGCCTATGTGTTTCCTACTGCCAAAGGGGCCCTTTAGAGTAGTGAGAGAAGATCTTCACCCTGAAACCCACAGCGTCCCTTTTCAGCAGGAAGTAGCTAAGAGAATACGCCATCCCCTTTTCCTTATGACTCAGGGTGAAGTCTCTCTCAGGGAGGAGTGATAGGGAATGGCAAAGGATACACTGACAAAGAAGATTAATTAATCAGAACTGGCTTTGACAAGCACTGTGGCATTTGGACAAGAACAAACTGGGAGAAGTGTAGAGAGAATAGTGCAACAATGAATGAGTGGAAGCCCAAAATCTCTGTAAATGTTTATGAAAATTAATAAAATATAATTATAGAAAAAGAAATCATAGTCAGAAAATATTATTTCTTCTCTTTAATAGTGAAACTAAAAAAACATTTTAAAAGAAAAGAAATATCCTAAAAAAGTAGAAGTGATAGCAAAGACTTTGATTTAATTTAAAATAATTTTTAAATAAATCCTAAAGAAAGCAAAAAGCAAACAAATGACAATCTATAGGGGAAACAAAATAAAGAACCTCAATGATGTGAATTCCCTGACAAGATTCCAAAAATAAATTTTTTAAATATCATATGTATTGCTTATAAAAGCAACATTTATAAGAGAGAAAGAATATCAAAAGTAAGGCCAAAGATTAATTAGACAGAGGAAACACAAAGCAATAGAGAGAGTAACAACCATTTCAGAAAGAAGAGAATCCAAGAAAACAATCATTAGTGACAGTATGATAGCTGTTATAACAGGGCAATATCATGATCAATAATAAAGATATAATATGAGCCTCCATATAATAAAGGGAACTCTTCTGGCACTAGTTTCAAAATAGGCTGTTAGCCAAATGGTCAGTGGTTTACATCACCAGTAAGTCCCTGGAAGATGAGGCACTCTGTTTCCATAACCATTTAGCTTTGGAAATGCTACAGGGCAGTTTTCTGTCCTGCATATGTGTTGTGTACTTTTGAGTGGGAGAACCAACTCACAGCTGACCCTCCAGCACATTTTCAGAGGCAGTATATCACACAGGAGGAGACTGCCCATCTTTTTTCCATGCAACAACTGATGGATTTGAACCATATGCATTTGGGTTGGCAGCACAATCCCTTACCACTAAACCACCAAGGTAAAAAATGCTAGGAAGAGATCTGTGAAAAGAGTACCTTTCTGGTAATGTCTCAAATTCATACAATGTAAACTGTGAGAAAATGTTACCAAAAATCTTCTAAGATCATGTATTAGGGTTTACCTACAAATAAAAATAACTTTTAAAATATATCAAGAAGCCAATAATTCAATTCCAAAGAAAACTTTCTAGGAATTTTAGACAAGAAAAATTATTTCATTTATAGGACAAAGATAATGCAGCCTTAAACCTCTGTTGCTGGAACAACAGTGAAGAGAGACAGACCATAAGATTTTTAACTCTCTGAGTCAGGCTAAGTTCAACGGCAAATAAATGGCATCTTAATCATGCATCACCAAATTGTTGTTGATGTTATTATTATTATTACTATTTGCCATCGAGTCAGTCACAACTCTCAATGACCCTATGTTCTATACCTCTGAACCCTGCCTTATCCTGAACCAGTCTTACTAACTCTGACACACCTTTCCTCTTTGCTCCAGTTACTGTGTCAATCCATTTCACCCTGGGTCTGCCTCTCCTGCACTATCTCTCCACCCTTCAAAGCATGACATCCTTCTCCAAGGACTGGTCTCTCCTGGAAGGGTGCCCAAAATATGTGAGACATCTTCAAAACCACTGCCTACAAAGAGAAACTTGGTTTCATCCTCTTCAAGCAGACTGATTTCTTCTCCTAGCGGTCCATCAAAGTAGCTTAAAGAAAATATTCAGAAAAGCAATAGCAAGGTTAAAAGATCCCACAAAAGATGGAAAAAATATCTTGAGAATAACAGTGAGGAAGTGGTAGATTTGAACTGCCAGAAAGGTATGGCCTTTGGGAGAGCAGTGCAACTCCCTACAGACTAGGTTACCAGAGCTCCCTGGGAGAATAAACACCCAACTTCAGTGTCTTCCTGCCATCTGAGCTAGAGCAGCATGTCACTGGCCAATTAAACCAAAAACCAGAGGACAAGGGATTCTGATTATACTGTTCTTAATGACCAGCCTCTTGGTAGACAGTGTGTGTAGGGAAAGGTGGAAATAAACCTGGAAAACATCCAGTAAAGTTCTTTCACGTAAGTCTCTGTTTTTAGAGCAAGGATTATTACTGTTGTTGTTAGGTGCCATTGGGTTGAGTATGACTCAGAGACCCCATGAATAACAGATCACAATACTTTCCTATCACATGCTATCCTCATCATTTCTGATGCACTTGAGCCCATTGCTACAATAATAGTGTCAATCCATCTCAATGAGGGTTTTCTTCTCATTTGCTGATCCTCCATCTTTCCAAGCATGATGTCTCTCTCCAGGGAATAGCCTCTACTAACAACATACCCAAAGTATGTGAGAGAGAGCTTCACTATCTCCAGAGAGCATTCTGGTTGCATATTCTCCAACACATAACTATTTTCTTTTTTAGTAATCCATAGGATACTATTCTCCAAAATCACAATTCAAAGGCATCAATCCTTCTTCTATAATCCTCATTCATTGTCCAGCTTTCAGATTTATATCAAGTTATGAAAAGAGAATCAGGTGCATCTTAGTTTCAAAATTGCATCATTGCTCTTCAATAATTTGGAAACTTCTGAAAGAATAGACTTTTCAAATGCAATGTTTCCTGATCGCTTACTGGTATCAAGTGTGTTGATTGTGGATCCAAGTAAGATGAAATTACTGACAATTTCAATCTTTTCTCCATCAATCATGATGTTGCTTATTGGCCCAGTGATGAAGATTTTTTTGTTTTCTTGATATTGAGATGAAAATAATATTCAAGGCTGTAATCTTTGGCCTTCTGCAGCAAGGGCTTCAAGCCTTCTTCACTTTCAAAAAGAATGATTAGTTTCATGTAATATCTCCACACACTAGAAGGAAGAGACCTGACATTCAGCCTACAGAATGGTAAGGGTCTCCTTTTCATTGGCAAAGGGTTCACTGTCATCCATACACTGAAAACATATTTCCTACCCAGCATGATAAAGTTACTGGTCTTGATACCTTAAGACTAATTTGAATCAGACAGATTTTAAATGTCCAAGTATACTTTAAAGAGCAATATTAAGAGTGTGAATATGGAAATGCAAGAAAGCAGCAGTTGGTAATATTTTGTTGTTGGTGGTGGTGTTTGCAGAAAAGTTTCACATAATCTTACAGATTATTATGATCCTGACCCATTTCTCCTTCTTCCCCAGAAAGTAAGCTCAAGTCAATCCAGAGGTGTCTTGAAAGAGAAGTCTGGAGATGAGTTCTTAGAAATCACAGCCTTGAGAACCTCAGGAAGTAATTAATTCTATTTTGCATACATAGAATTGTCATGAGTCAAAATTTACTCACAAGCAAATTACAATAAAAGGAGACATGCTACACAAAAGAAATACAAAGAATACAGTTAGTATCCTTCAGAAACACCCAGTCGTGCAAGTGATGGCTAATATGGCTCACATTTACTTAGCCTCTATGTCAAAGACTGTTTTAAGTTCTTCACATATATTAACATGGGGGTGAGTGAAGGAATTGGCACAGAGATTGGTCAGTCACTGGAATGACAGGTTTAAGGGAAAGGCAAGGTACAGTGAGGAAGGGATGGGATATGGTAATAAATACCAATGATTACTTGGAATTAATGTTATAGAACAAAATAGATATGAATGATTACATGAAAACCAACAAACAACTTTAAAAATAAAACCAAAAGGCCTATGAAATTAATGTCATGAGTTTTTAATGACCCAGGTATGTCATCTATAAAATGAACATAGGCATAAATGCAGCCTTCTAAATTTTGTGTTATTGAGACTATTTCTAACAAAAAGTTTTAATTCCAAAATATTTTACTAGGGAAAATGTACATTCCAAACTCAGTTTTTAAGGTATGTCCTTTTGTTGTTTTATAAGCATGAAAAATAGTAGACTAGCTTTGGAATTAAATGATTATTCTAGTTTTCTTAGGATAGTTTTCCTTTGGATTACTATTGTAACTTCTCAAATTATTCACTTGTAAAAATAGAAATGACAATAGTCATTTAGAGCTGCTCTTGCAAAGAGATGACAAAGCCTTCCAGGATTTAATTCTGGGTTTTGTACTAAAGTAAATATGAACTCTTACTGAGAAATCTCAAGCTCTGCTTTCACCCAAGGCCTTAAATATACAGATTCCAAGAGTCTCATGGTGGAATGGAAGAAGAGGTTCCTAGGCAAGTAACTCAATTAAAAGAGAAAGTAAGAACCTTCAATTGTGGGACACATCAATGTATCTTTCTCTAAGGGGCTGGAAGGAACATTGCTGGTATAACTCAAGTGGCCCTTAACTACAAATCCAGTCAGTAGTTTTGTGAGAATAAGCCATGGTGATCAGCTTCCACACAGATTACAGTCCATGAAGACCTGTGGGGATATTTGATTGTGTTCTACAAGGTGATTATGAGTTAGAATATATTCAGCAGCATCCAACAACAGCAATGGGTTAAAGTCTTCTCACAGAGTAAAATCTTTTGAAATCTCTAGGCTAGAAAGACTAGAGTGGTTGCTTTGCTACATTAAAAAAATAGTTATAAGAGATATTGGTAGTGTCTGGACAATAAAAACAACAACAGGGTACATATTTACCTGGCAGGGTTGGAACCCTCTCTTGAGGAAGTTTCAGGATGTCGCAGGGAAGTTTTGGGGAGGTTTGCGAGTTCCTGGGCCATCACATGCTGAGTATAATCATCCTGCCATGTCAAACCTGCAGGCGAAAGTGGCAAAGACTGTGTTACCAATTTTGGAAGTTTAATAAATATTCTCACTTTAGCCTCTTCAGTGCTACCATTTTGGAAATACTTTTTCACTCAAGCTGGTGACTGTTATTAGTTACCATAGAATTCTGACTCAGGATTGGTCCTGCAACATTTGTAATTATTGAGATGCTTGGTCATTATTGGTTTTCAGTCCCCAAGGAATTGTTACGTTAAACCATGCGAAGTCCAATGGAAGCTCAGCTAGGAATTGGTTTTGACCCAGTGGCAGTGAGTCATTAGGGCCTATCCAGACTCCAGCACTACACAGGACAATATTCTGTTGTTATCCTTAGAGATAATTTGGAGACATAGAACATACTTTCTTCCTAGCTTGTCTTGGACTGGAAGGCCCACTGAATCTTGTCCAAATTGGTAATATCGATAACACAGTTACCAAGATTGTAGTAGCAATAGTGTGAAAAATTAACCAATAGACAGTAGAAGCTGGCAGTGCCATTAGCCATGCCAAGGCCTTCCTACTACAATGTCCAGAACTTCTAACTTTCTGAAGCTTTAAGATTAGAAATACTCTTGGTGGTTGCTATACTAAAAATTAAAATAGATAAAAGGTTTGATGGATGCTGAGACAGAACACCATGGAGACATATATAAAATACATATTTAACTTATAAGAGATATTTTTGGTCACTGTGAAAAATGAAAACCTTCTACATATAGTTATTTCACAGCAAGGATAGTTCTCATTCACAGTGTGTATATGTTTATCTTTGACTCACCCACTACCCACCTGCTTGCCATAGCATGGGCAATTTGTTCATCCTAAACCCTTCTTACTTAAGAGTCAAGGATTTCGAATGGAATAAGGGGTATTGTTACTGTGAGAGCAATTATCATGGGGTTTAATGTACTGTATCTGGGAACCAATTACATTTTATTTATACTCAAATGTTATGACAAAGAGCTTTGTAAGAAGGGTGAAGTAGTTACGAAGGCAAAATCCATGTGATTATGCATTAATTACATGCACTGCAGATCACATGATAATTATGCTCAGAATTACCAAATAACTCCCAAGAATAATTATTATGCAATTTGTACATTTTAGATCTTATGGTAACACTTTAGCTCTTAGAACTACCCCATGCAATTATCCATAATTATCTAATCACTAAATATCATGTAATTACAGAGATATATTTTTATGCCCTGTACAAAAACACATTACCAAAGCCTTCAAATCAGGGTGGTTGTGTGCTTATTTGTGTGTATGTGTGTGCTTACTTGTGTGATACAGAAGTCCAGAATTTGCTGAGAATCACATATTCTGGTGGGTATTAAAAGAAAGCCTGAGTAGACATTAGCTGCTTTTACAAATGCATCTTTTAATCCATCTTTGTTAATGCATGTTTTAAATGTAAATTTAAGATTTAAAAAAATTACAAGTGGCAATATTTAAATGATTTGCACGTTTCTGAATCAAAGAAGACTTAATAGTATCTCTCAAAATGAAGAATCATGGGGAAAATCCATCAACTGGGATGACTGTCCATTGCAATTTGTTCAAAGATGTTTTGAAGTTAACTTTTAGAGACTGGGTTGCTACAGGTAGATAGATGGTCATGGCACCAGAGTCATGATTTTCATTATTTTAGGATTAAAGGTTCTTAATGATAAGAAAATCTATGCCATTTACCAAAAGCAACAAAGAAAAAATAACTCTATATGGAAACGTATGCTGGTATAGTTATTAGTAGATTATTTTGAAGAAGCTGGACTGCAATCTCCAAGGCAGACAGTTTGAATGCATCAACTGTTTGGTAGAAGACAATGGACAATCTCCTCCAGGGTGATTAACTGCCTCTGAAAATCTACTGAGGCTATAAGTCAGATCCCACTCAAAAGTACAAAACAACACCACTTGGGAGAGAGTAAGCCTGATCAAAAGCACTTGTTCAATGTTAGTGTAATACTATTGTTGTTAGATACTGTTGAGTTGAGTATGACTCATGGCGATGCTTAAGGACAGCAAGTTTGAACCCTGTCCTATCTTGTGCCATCTTCAGACTTCCTGACACACTAGAGCCCATTGCAGGAGTTACCATGTCAATCCATCTGATTGAGCGTCTTCCTTTCTTTGCCAACCCTACACCCTTCTAAAGCATCATATCTCTTTCCTAGCAACACACCCAAAATAAGTGATACAAAGTCTCATTTTTCTTGCCTCCAAAGAGCACTCTGGCTTCACCATCTCCAAGACATAGCCTGGCCATCCGTGTGATGTTCAGTGCTCTTCTCTAACACCACAGCTCAAAGGCAACAATTCTTTTTCTGTATTCATTGTCCAGCTCTAAGATGCACAGAAGTGATTGGAAAGACCATGCCCTGAATTAGATGTGTTTTAGTCCTCAAATCGATATCATTACTCCTCAATAATTTGGAGAGGTCCCTAATTTCATGTTTTCCCACTATACTATCTAGCAATATGAATTTTGAAAAGAAATTTATTTTAATGATTTAATCCCTAAAAATATGGCCTTTACATTCATATTTGTTAGGAAACAGAGTAAATCAATAGTAGAAGTAAATCCTCCTGGCAGGGGTGAGAAGCTGTTTTTGGTTTTGTTTTGGTTTGGTTTTTTTCTAAGTAAGTATACATTTTTAAAAATCTTAAACAAGCACAAAAGTCTGAACTATGTCAATTGGAGACTTTTTAGGCAAGATTCTAGAACAGTCACTGGCTAGATAGCATGGGTTAGATGCCTGTAGGAAATCTTGAGAGGACACTGTGTCCCTGTCCTCAGCTTCGATTTCTAAGATTTTCTGGGAGGAGGCTGAAACTGTCCCTGTGGATATGAAAGTAAAGAAAAGCATATTCATGGAGTGTTTAAAATCCTCTCTGGACTTCTCTCCAAGATCTATCTTAGAGGAAATAAAGCCCTGGGCAGAGAAAATTATCTTCCATGGGGAGAGAGTGTACGAACTTTTTGTAAAACCTGGACAGTATACAGAGAGCAAGCATAAGGGCTTGTGACAGCGTGGCTGGGGAGTTGTGAGGCTGACCCAAAGGCTGGAGCTCTCTAGTGGTAAGAGCACAGGAGCAGCTCCACAGGAGCAAGGTGGACAAATGCCCCTACCCCCGCCATGTGGACAAGTGCCCCCTACCCCCACCATGTGGACAAGTGTCCCCTACCCCCACCATGAGGATAAGTGCCCCCTACCCTCGCCATGTGATTTGCTGCCTCAGAAATTCAACAGATGCTCAGTTAAAACTCAGTCCTTACTCGATGGCATTTGCATCTGAGAGTTTTTTTAAAAACACAAAAAGGTTCTGAAAGATGAAAAGGCAGGAATTCTAGGAATGTTGGGCATCAATAAATGACTTGATGTGAGTTTCTTGTATTTTCATATTGTCCTCATATATCTCTGACTTGAAGCCAATGACGCTAGCATAGCAGCTCGTAAATTCAATGGATGTAGAAAATAAAAGGCACCAACAAAAGGCTACACTCTGCAGCAAAAAGGGCTAAGAATGGGGCAACCTAGCAATGAAGCAAAACTTTAGTCAAGAACCATTCCACACCAGACAAACGTCACAGAAAAATGCATTTCCCCATTTACAACCATGGCAATAAAATCTAAATGGGGAGTGTAGTTTCGCCATCATGTAACTGTAATGTTGTTGCTGTTAGGTGTCATCATGTATATTCACATTGAACCTACGAACAACAGATCAGAAACCTGTCCTATCCTAATCACATCTGAGAGACAGCCAGGAACAAGTGCAGAATCTTTCCTAACTACTGACCAATAAAAAAAATACTCCATTCACTTAGTGTCAGCTGAAATTCCACCCCTGACTAATAGAATAAGATCTGTATGTAGAGCAAATAATTAGACAACTTGGATTACATGAAAAAGAATGTGCCATCAGGATTGGAGGAAGAAGCATCAACACAATTTATGTTATTGAGATGACACAACTCTACTTGCAGAAAGTGAAGAAAACTTGAAACACTTACTGAAGAAGATCATAGACTATATATATATATCCTCCACCATAGGCTGCTCCTCAACACAACCAAAACAAAAATCTTCACCAATGGACCAATAGGCAGCATCATGGTAGATAGAGAAAGGACTAAAATTGTCAACAACTTCATCCTGCTTGAATCCACAATCAACATGTACAGTAGTAGAAGTCAAGAAAGCTAAATACTTGTCACACTGGGGAAATCTGCTGTCAAGACCCTCTCCAAAATACTAAAGAACAATGATATCAGCTTAAAGACTAAGGTATACCTTATCCAATCAATGGTATTTACAGTTGCTTCCTATGGATTTAAAAATTAGACAATGGATAGGGAAGACAAGAAAAAGAATTCATCCTTTCTACAAAGATGGCACTGAAACTAAAGAAGGCAGCCCTTGCCCCTCCCAAAACTAAAGCCAAAGCAAAGGCATTAAAGGCCAAGAAGGCAGTCCTGAAGGGCATCCACTGCCAAAAAAAAAAAAAAAGATGCACATGTCACCCACCTTCCAGCGGCCTAAGACGCTGAGACTCTAAAGGCAGCCCAAATACCCCCAGAAGAGCGCCCCCGTGACAAACAAGCTCAACCACTTTGCCGTCATCAAGTTTCCCCTGACCACTGAGTCAGACATGAAGAAGATAAAAGATAACAGCACACTTGTGTTCATTATGGATGTCAAGGCCAACAAGCACCAAATTAAACAAGCTGTAAAGAAGCTCTATGACATTGATGTGGCTAAGGTCAACACTTTGATGAGGCCAGATGGAGAGAAGAAGACCTATGTTCGACTTGCTCCTGACTATGATGCTTTGGATGTTGCCAACAAAATTGGGACCATCTAAACTGAGTCCAGCTGGATAATTCTAAATACAAATTTTTCTCACACACACACACACACACACACACACACACACACACAAATCCATGTCTTCAAATTGTGGGGTTGGTGAAATGTAACG